GGGGATTGAACCGCGGTCCCTGTGCTTTGCTTGGCTTTGCTTGTTCTAAGTAGGTGCTTTAGACCACTGAGCCAGCTCACCAGCCCTGAATCTGATATTAGTAGTAAGATCTCGAACACCCTGTAGACCCTTCCCTAAAAATAAATATACACACACACAAAACAATAATACTTTGACCACTGGGAAGAATGTATGCAATGTGTTAATTATTGAAACTGTCCTACCAGTTTGATCTGAAACTGTCTCATTGCTATTTGTTTATCAATAAAATTATGGAAAACAAACAAACAAACAAACAAAAAGAATAATACTTTGAAGAAACAACACAGCTCCCCACAGTATTAAGGGTGAAACTCAAGGTCTTTACACTGAGCCCCAGCCCCAGCCTTTTAATTTTGCTATGGACAGTGTCTCACTGTGGTCCCCAGCCTGCAGTGCAAAATCCAGATTCTGCCTTAAAAAAAAAATATTTTTTAAAAACTACAGCATAGGATCTTCAGAAGAGACTAAATTCCCAATTAAATTCCCAACTTGGAGCCCCCACACCTGTACAATCTTAGAGAGCTCCCGTTTAGAGAACATGAAAAATCTGGCTTGTTCCATAAAGGCTACAATTCTGAGGACACCTCTTCACTTTTCTAAAGCAATGTTATTTGTTAATAAGAATCCACACACTATGTGTGAAATGTTTAATCTTAGTAAAAACAGAAGATGACCATGTCCAAATTTACAGCAAGCAGAGTATTACTTTTGTGAATGACTTTGTCAGTTAATGAGTTTAGTGATAATTTTATACAATTTCAGTTAAGTCTGCCTATGTATTTAATAACGCAATATGGTTACCTTGAGATATTATTGTCTCTCAAACTAAGAAATAATTTTCTGCCTTAATGATTTTATCATACAAATTAAGGCGCTATACAGAGTCTTAAAGAAATTGTAGCTGTGGTATATCCTAAGAACCAAATAAGTGCTGGGCACAGTGGGGTAGAACTGTAATCCCAGCAACTGGGAGGCTTGAGGCAAAAAAGATTGCTCTGAGTTCAATTCCAGCCGGAACTACATAGTGAAGCAATCCCTAAACAACAAATATCAACCAAAGGCCAGGGATACAACTTAGTAGCCTCAGCACCTCACTGGCAGGCAAATGTGTTTCCTTCAACTGAAATACTGGCTATTTTTGGTGCAAAACATAACAAATGCAGGAGGCTAATCCTGTTCATGAAGAGCCTGGTATCCTGCCGACCTGCGATGAGCACCCATATTCCTCCCCTTCTAGGTTGTTCGCTCCAGTGGTCAGCACTCAGGTGACTGCCCTCGACCACCCCCACCAACCTTTCTCTTCCTGGGTGCCACCTCCTCTTATGTAGTCACTGCAGGTACTTGGACACAGGTAGAGCGCCTGCCGAAGCTCCAGATTGAGAAACCACACCTGAAGAAATGTGTTGACGTAACATGTGGCTCCAAGGTTTGTCAGGCCCACAAAGGAGTTCTACAGAAATACAAGACCATAATATTTATTTCCCTTTAAACACAAAAAACATGAGTATGTTATTTTTAAATTTCCAGATTAGGCTCTTTTCCTCCCAGGCTGTCTGAGGCTCCGTTGCCATCATGAATGATACAGTAACTATCTGAACCTGGAAATTCATGACCAACCGGCTTCTTCAAAGGAAACAAATGGTCATTGATGTCCTTCACCTTGGGAAAGCAACAGTACTTAAGACAGAAATTTGGGAAAAACTTGCCAAAATGTACAAGACCACAGCAGATGTCATTTTTGTGTTTGGATTCAGAACCCATTTTGGTGGTGGCAAGACGACTGGCTTTGGTATAACTACGTTTCCCTGGATTATGCGAAGAAAAATAAGCCCAAACATAGACTTGCAAGACATGGCCTGTATGAGAAGAAAAAGACCTCAAGAAAGCAGCGGAAGGAACGCAAGAACAGAATGAAGAAAGTCAGGGGCACTGCAAAGGCTAACGTTGGTGCTGGCAAAAAGCCGAAGGAGTACAGATTCTGCAGTGCCTGTCTGCAGTGAGTCTGACTTTTTTCACAAGAGGATTTAATAAACTGTAAAATCTTTTAAAAATTAGCTAATTAATTAATTTCCAGATTAGGGGATGGGGAAATAGCTCAGTAGAATAAGCGCTTGCCTGACAAGCACAAGGGCCTGAGTTCAATCCCCGGTTCTGCAAAAAAAAAAGGTAAAAAATAAAATAAAAATAAATTTCCAGATTAAAAGATTGGCAAGACTGTCCCAACAGGGCATAACTGCCTCCAACCGCTCAAGGTAGTGAGGATTGCCCCCGAAAGCCCATGGTGGGGGGCACGCACAGCTACAGAGTCCCTCCAGGAGCATCACTGCCCATCAGTCACCAGCATCCTTAGCAGGCTGTCTCTTCAGTCAGCCACTTCATCTACTATTGAAATAGTAGAGTGAATGTCAGTTTTGAATATGTATACATATATTGTCATTTGTTACATTCTGAAAACTACCAGAGTTCAGGAAAAGAAAAAAAAAAAAAAAAAAAAAA